GAAATTGGCGTAAATTTCCCAATTTTCCAACAAAAGGAGAGGATGGCAATAACACATTGTCACAGTAAAGCAAGGAAGGCAGCATTATATAATTCAACATTAGGTATAGTAATGGGCCAAGCTCAAAATCAATAAGATGCCCAAATGAATTAAGGGAAAATTCAAAATTTAGGTGTATGATTTACACCAATTCAAAAGTCAGGTAGATAGTTTAACAATTCAAAATTAAGGTATTAGTTAATTAATTAAAAATATTTATTAATTAGGTCACAATTATACAATTAATGGTCACATATACATAATTATAGGTCACGACTTATCTACAAGTAACATATCATCAAATTAATTGGTCACAAATTATTTCGAGATCACAAATTAAAACTTTTATAGGTCACAGATTATTTTGAGGTCAAAAATCAAAATTTTTATATGTCACGATTTATTTAATTGGTCACAAATAAAAAAAATTACGAGTCACAAATTATGAATCGATCATAGATTTTTAAATTTGTTGGTCACAATATATATATCAGTCATAAGTTATCAAATTTTAAGGTCACAGTTTAATATTGATCATAAATAACCAAATAATTGGTCACATACACCAAAAATTAGATCACATACCATCGCCAACACCACTTACGACCACCCTCACCCTGCGACCGTCGCCAGCACCACAAGACCATTACTACCGCATCAAATCCACCATCACCGTCACAATTTTTAGATCACATGTTACAAATTAACCAATTATTGGTCACAGGCATCCAACCCACCTCACCACCGCCACCATCGCCCGCAGCACCACGAACACACCCACAACACCTTTCACAGCATCACCACCACACCATCGTCGCCTGCCAAAATCCACCCCTATCCCAAAACTACCACACGGTCCACACCACACTACAGCCATCACCCCTCCAACAAATAATCAAGTCCGCCACCGCTACCGTCACCACCGTCAACACCTCCACTTGCACCACAACCTAAACTGCCTTACAATCTGTAACAAAAACACCACCACTACCACCACCTCTCGACAGCGACATCACTGCCATTACTAGAATGAATGCTATGGTTTGTGCTCAATAATTTTACAGAATGAATGCTGTGGTTTGTGCCCAGTAATTTTTCAGCGCCGCTACTACAGCTCTGGTGATGCTCATCCACCAAATCTCGTTGAGGAGGGGGAGAGTGAGAGAGGAGATTTCGCACCCACCGCGCTCTGTGGTACAGATTGCCTCGGTACTACTTACGTGGTGGCAACGATTGAAGTGAAATGGGGTAGGTCTTCGGTGGCGTGTTCCAACGGCGGCGTAGAAGAGGGAAAGGAATAGAGGGAAAAGATAGATGGAGAGTGAGTGAGGGTGAGAATAAAATGAAATGGTTAAGGTCTGGAATTGAATTGAGGGTAGATATAATTATTATATTCATACCTGATTTTTGAATAATGAAACTTGATCCTTGATTTTTGAATTTTAATCTTCAAACACATGGAATTATGTAATTTCCACATGAATCAATAAGTGGTCCAACACTT